GTCCGCAATATCCCCGTTGCATTCCAACTTCACTTCCACCTTTCTAAACTTTACAAGATCTCCGATGACATTGAAACTTAGGCTGGGGTAATTACGAGTTGATCATCATAAGGAGGGCCTAGAAATCCCATCTCCATCCTTCACTATTAAGAGGCAAAACATAAAACATCATTGTAGCACCCTAGTATGCTGCAGTTTGGAAGACCTATCAACCCAACCAGTCTAAGGCATAGCTTTTGTGATACAATCCTTAGCATCTTCAAATAATGCCTCTTATTTAAATAGAGCAGTGATGGCGAACCTTTTAGAGACCGAGTGCCCAAAAACTGGCCCCGCCCCTGCTCCACACCCCTGCCCTACCCCTGCTCTGCCCCCCATCCTCCACCCCGCCTGCCCATAGGACCACTCACCACCTCCAGGGCCCGCCGCAGATCGCCCAGGCAGCCCAGCAGCGCTATGGCGTCCACACCCTCTGCCCGCGCCCTGCAGCATCAACTGCATGATGGGGTGTGAGGGCAGAGTCTTGTCTACGATGCCTGGCTGCCATGTCCTTGGCTGCGCTGCTCCATGTGGGCCATGCTCGGGGGCGACTCTCCTTCAGGGGGGCTGCTGGAGAGGAGGGGGTCATGGGGGGAGGCAAGGCTGGGGCAACGGCACGTGTGCCCACAGAGAGGGCTCCGAGTGCCGCCTCTGGCACCCGTGCCACAGGTTCGCCACCACTGAAATAGAGCAAGGAGTGATTCGAGCTTAGAGAATTATCCTGAGCAAATATTGGCCTTTTTTAAGGGGGGGTGGTGAAATCCCTCTAGTCCATATTAACACTGTTAAGAGGATTAATTGAGATCTTTCTGAAAGAGAAGCGAATGGTCCATTTCTCTCAACAATTGACCTTTCTCCAAATAACTCTATACACAGGAGCAAACGGCAAGTCAATCACATATCCCAAGCATTGATCCCTCTTAACTTCTCTTATTTATCAAAGTTTTGAAGACCAACTTTCCGGAGCTATTGATTTGCTATGAAGGAGCATAGAGAAGCCTATCATCGCATAAAATATTTTATGTGCTGCTTTGCTGTGAAATAAAGAGCTGTAAATATCAATACATAGTTTTATCCATGACTATGTGAGCAAATAAAAATCTTCTGGGAAGTGGGGAAAGTAATAACAAAACTTCTGCTGTTAGAAAGATGAGCTGGCTTGGGGAATTTGCGTATATAATCATGATAAACTAGCTTATCCCTGCAAAAAGTAGAAGCTGTGAGCTGTGAACAGTACAAAATCTAACTAATCAATACACCTTCACATAGACCACTTAAAATCAAGCACATTCCTTCAAGGCTCGGTCAAACATATTCAACTAGGGATTTCAATGCTGGGCAGAGATGAACTTGAGAGCAAAGAATACTTCTAAATAAACAGCTTCCAGAACACCCAATCAACCGGACAAGTAATATAACCATGATTTTCTTTCTTAATGGTCCTTTCTGATAAGAAATGCAACAGAAATCATAGAAAAAAGGAGGGTTTTAAATGGATTATGAATTGGGACCCATGTCAGAATTTATGAATGGGGCATATTGCAACAGAGACTTGTTCTATCGTCACATTGTCTGTTATCCAAGCTAGTTTTTGCCCATGGAAGCCCTACATTAAATAGTTTAATCAAAAGAAATACATAGGTTGTGAGGTCAATTGCCAAATGAGACAACCATATCTTGGCTAATTTGTATTGCTTTCACATTCACTCTGCCTCCGCTAGACTCTGCGTTATCCACTTATTTTCTACATATTGAAAGTTCATTACTCAAAAACATTCAGAAGTTGCAAATTTAGGATTTTCAAACGATTCGCTTTGAATAAAGAATCTGAAAATCTATCCCTCACCACCTCAGGCTCAGAAGTTTAATTCTATCTACTAGAGATGCATAAAAAAGTAGATTCTTGTTGTCTCCGCTTGATTGTTTTCCTACAGATGTTTCATTACTTGGCTAAGTAGAACCATGAATACCGGGTGTATATGGAGTGTAAGGAACAGTTGCTAGAATTGAGTATATCTTGTTTAATGAAGAGAAGGATGAGGGGGGACAGGATAGCAGTGTTCCAATATCTCAGGGGCTCCCCCAAAGAAGAGGGAGTCAAGCTATTCTCCAAAGCGCCTGAAGGCAGGTTAAGAAGCAACAGATGGAAACTAATCAAGGAGAGAAGCAACCTGGAACTAAGGAGAAACTTCCTGACAGTTAGAACAATTAACCAGTGGAACAACCTGCCTCCACAAGCGGTGAATGCTCCAACACTGGAAGTTTTTAAGAAGAGACTGGACAGCCATTTGTCTGAAATGGCATAGGGCAGACATGTCAAACTCGCGATGTCACGTGACATCGCGTAACGTATCGGGACGCTTTTGCTTGCTGGCAATGGGGTGGGCGCGGCTTCCGGATGACGCATCTGGCCCGCAGGCCAGCAATTTGACACCCCTGGTATAGGGTTTCCTGCCTGAGCCAGGGGGTTGGACTAGATGACCTCCAAGGTCCCTTCCAACTTTATTATTATTATTATTATTATTATTATTATTATTATTATTATTATTATTATTATTATTATTATTATTATTATTATTATTATTATTATTATTAT